AGGTGTGACTGGAGGGCCCCAAGTCTAAGCACCTTGGAACTGAAGTATTTAGAAAAGCTGGTGTCCACACTTACTAGGAGGTCACACAGACTGGGAAGGAAGAGTAGACATCAATTTATCATTGGAATCACTGGGGAGGGAAACATCTCAGTAACGTTTGTTGTTACTACAAATGTGTATAAACACATACCCTCAGATTAACACAACTGGAGACAAACTTGTCATGCTGATTCTGGGAATTATATTTGTAGGTGTTTAGTACATTTTTCTGTCTTTTCTGTACATGAATTATTTTTTCTTTAAATTATAATCAAAATGCAGAAGGTGGTGATAAGAACAAAGCAAAGAGCCAAAAATGGCTGAAGCAGCAGCTCTGGTAACAGGTCTGGGGCTGTGTGTGGACAAAGGAGTGCTCTGGGAGGGCCAGTCCTGTGCCACCGCCCCTGGATGCCATACTTAGGTGAGAAAGGCTGATAAGAAAAGACAGACACTTGCCCAATGAGGGACGAAAAGCTGTTGGTGCTCATTCCAAGGACAGTACAGCTACCTCTTTCAGCACATCTTGCTTTCTGTAGGCAATGCTACTGACAGCCCTGAAAGGGAAGGCCTGGGCTAAAGGGCCATGGAGAGGTGCTGGATATCAGGGACTCCCAGAAGGAAGATAAACATTGTCAGAAGACGCCCTCCCATGGGGTGACCAGCTTGCTGAGTATCATGCTGCCCACATGTAATGGAAGGCAGGAGCCAGAATACTGACTTGGCTGCTTCAAAGCATGTATCTATCCTTGCTCCCTGCTGCCAACCCACCTGCATCTCTAGGGGAACACCCTCAGGCCCATGCTATTCAGGTTCTAGAGTCAAAAGGAGGCAACACGCTTGCTGGACTGCCTTGATCACAGCAAGCTGGGAGACGGGGGCTATGGATTTCACCTTGTTGTCAGAGAAGCAGGAGGCAAGACTTCGAGTGGGCGCCTGAGAGAAGAAGCCCTGAGGAATGCCCAAAACTGTTGAGAGCCTTGGGCTCTTCTTTGATTCCTAGGAACTGAGCCAGGCCTTGGAGGACAGAGGGACAGAAAACCACTTGAGGCTGCCAGGAACTCACCTTCGTTGACAAGGTACCGTGCATAGAGGAGGAGCCAATGGCGGTACTCATGGCTGGACTGCAGAGTGAGTGCTGCTGCAACCTGATTCTCTAGGTAGGCCAGTGTGGTCTCCTGCTGCACCACATGAGGCACGGAGAAGAGCCGGGCGGCTTGCCTTCCAGAGCTGCAGAGACCAGCAGAGCAGGCATGATGAGGCAGAGGGCCCTGTACGGGCACATGAGCCTGTTCCCATGTGCCCTAGTGAGTTGCCACAGTGTGACAAGTTTCTCGGCTGCCCAAGGCCTCCATGCAGCAGCCAATCTATTGTCCACTCCAGGCCTCTTGGCACACCAGGTATATCCTATCCTGTACCTGTCATCTAGGTCCTGGAGGTATCAGCCAGTGGCCATTCCTCTGACCTGAAATACTGCTCCATGTAGGTATCTATGACCCTTATCACCCTCACATTGGCATCTGGGTCGCTACAGTGACAGACACTGTGTTCTAGCCACCCCTGAGAGATTATTACATGTGGGCCCACTGGAAGCCTGTGCTGAGTAGCAGATGGGCACAGGGGACAAACAGAGATTAGGCCTGTTCACTTCCCAGGGCAGCAATGTGGACAATGGCCATGTTGCTCAGCTCACATACTTGGAGGTGCGGCCCTGGATTATGGCTAACGGTCCTGAGCACAGCATGGCGTCCTGGGATGGCAAGCTGCTCCTGAAGTCTGCACACTGGGCCAGTGAGTCCTGCTTGTCAGAAACCAGGTTCCTGGGAAGACAAGGGCAGGAATGGAGGTTAGGAAAATCAGGAGGTCTACTCAATCAAAGAGGAACAGGTCCTTCCTGCCAAACTAGGAGCAAACCAAAGGGGATGAGAGTCACTGTACTGTAGCCTAGGTGCTGACTGATGACATGTCATGGTTCCTAGTCATGGACCTGATAAATTATTCCCAAGGAAAGGTTGCTGAGGGGGTTCTGTGAACATGTTAGTCTCAGTTCCTGATGATCAACAAAGTCCCTACATGTGAAGTGTGTTCCACATGCTCGGCTCACACGGTAGTGGCCTGCCCAGAGGCCTGTGTGGCCTGCATCTGCTACAGCTGCCAGGGGTGACAGCCCTCTGGCTTTCCTGTACTTCTGCAATATCCTTGGGATGTAGTTCTTCCACTTCCTTGGCACCCGTCACATCTTAGCTAGGAAAACAATCTCTATATACCTTTTTTTTTTTTTTTTTTTCTTTTGAGAAAGGGTTTCACTATGTAGTTCAGACTGGCCTTCAACTTACTCTGTAGCCCAGGCTGGCTTCGAACTCATGGTGATCCTTCTGCCTCCCAAGTGCTAGGATTACAGGTGTGTGCCACCATACCCGGGCTCCCTCTATACACTTTTAAAACAGCTGGGTGTATTTCTAAATATGTCTTAAATACAAAGATGTATATATAGAGGCAAGAGTTCATGCATGTTTATGAATGTAGTTTGTTCCACAGGTTTTTTTTTTTTGTGGTACTGGGGATTGAACTCAGGGTCTTGTGCATACTAGGCAAGCACTCTACCACTGAGCTACATCCCCAGCCCTTGGTTTTGTTTTGAGCCAGGGTCTCACTGTGCAATTCAGGCTGGCCTTGAACTCACTTTGTAGTCCAGGCTGGCCTCAAACTCACGGTGATCCTCCTGCCTCAGCCTCCCGAGTGCTGGGATTACAGGCATGCGCCACCACACCTGGCTCCAGTTTTGGAGAAGATGGCCACATCTGTGTTTGTGCAGGAAAGATGGCCATGGTCATGTTTGTCACCTAATGTAGAGTTTGGAAACAAAACATAATTTTGCCAAATTACTTGTTTGGAAACAAAAGTGTTCATTAACTGAGGTACCACTGTAATGAAATATCAGTGTGAGTATGAACTTGTGCCTGGCAACTCTTAACAGAAACGGAGCTAGGAGGTACAAGTTTTGGGTCTGAAAGACCAAAAGTGTAGGCAGACAGAAAGGATTTCCTGGGGAACTGGCATACAATTTACACATTTTATATGTCTGTGTTAAGATCTCTGATGTATAAGGAAATTTTACAAATATAGAAATGGGCTCCAAATTCTAAAGTAAGCAGAATGGGCAGAAGAAATGTATGAGTCACATGTGGGTAAGTGAGCTGCCTTACTAATCTACTAAGTAAGTCTGAAGAGCTACTTTGCTCCTTTTAAACTTACCAAATTGACTAACACTGGCAAGGCTGCTGTGGAGCCAACTCTCCTATGCTCTTGATGGATAAGAAGGCCTGCCTCGAAATACTGTTACGAACTATAAAAAATGTCAAGTGCCTATTCCAATAAAACTGGGCTCAGAAAATACCATAAAACAACAGCTCCCCTATTTATGGGCTCTGAGGCATAGATACCACAGGTCAGCAGTATCACAAGGAGACGGTGAGGCATGTACTGCTTATCACAGACAGTCCAAGGTCTAACTGCCAGGAGAAGCATGGCCAAGCAGATCTAACTGCCAGGACCCAGAGCCTCTGCTCTGTTGTAAGATACTCTGCAGTAAGATACTCCCAGGGAACAACACTGGGGGGTGGCTTCTTACCATGTAGAGAGTGACGGATTAAAGCAGTATGCCTTCCCATCAGACAGGTTCATCACTGGGATTCCATGTTGCGTCAGCAAGATCTGTGACACCGTCATATCACTTCCTGGGGCACATTGCAGGAAAAAGTTCCAGTACGTTCTACTCAGCAAGTGTTTACATATTTGCCAAAGGAAAAATCTGAATCCCAGCTCCCATAACCTCAGTAACAAGCTCCATAATGCTGACTTGCTAATTAGGTAAGGCTGCTTCATGTTTTGTGCAAGCTGTCATCACTGACATTAGGATTTTTTTTTTTTTTGGTTTTTCTCCATTACTGGGAACCGAACTCATGACCTTGCGCTTGCCAGGCAGAGGCTTTGCTGCTGAGCTAAATCCCCAGCCCCCTGACATTAGGATTTATGTCACCTCTTAGGGCCCCATTTAATCTTGTATCCAGTATATGTGTCTCCTTGGTATGCTAGTGTGCAGCTCTGCCTTACTGGGAGGCTTGTGCTAGCCTGGCTCTCCATTTATGCTGAGGGACCTGTCACTCGCACCCAGGAGGGGAGGGGTACTGCCGCACGGTTACCTGCCAAGATGGAGTGTAGAGACTCTTCTTTCACCACAACCACTTGCCTGTGAACATCCCTAAGAAGGAGACAGGGAACAGCTTACTCTCCACCTGAGGTAAATGCATCAGAGTTTGTCTCAGCTGTTGAGAACCCTGATCCTTGGATGCATCCCCAACCCTCTGCCCAAGTCTGCAGCAGAGATCCTAGGCAACAGAGCACTAAGCCAACCTCAATGCTCAAACCCACTCTGGGGAAGAAGCTGGCCATGGCAGCCACACCAGTATGGTCAAACTCTTCCAACAGAGGTCCCAATGCTAATGAATACATGTAAGGATCTGGCACATGCCAACGGGAAGTGTGATTTCTCACATAGTCTGCTCCAGTGAGGATGACAGCAAAATAGGCCTCATTTCCCTTTATACAGTCTTCTCAGTCCTTTGGCTACACAGGCAACCAGTACATACAACAGTGCTTAGTGCTCAGTGTCTCCTCCCCAGACTGATGGCCACATTCTCTGTTGTGTTCCCTGACCCTGCTGAGAGGTGGGACCTACACACCCCTGTCCTATCTTTCCGGATGCCACTCCACCCTGGGACTCTTACCAGACAGACAGTGTGGCTGCAGCAGTGAGTGCCATGACGTAGGAACCCGTGCAGTGCAAAGTAGAGATAGGGGACGGCAGGAGGATGGGAGGGAGCAGGCGGCGACCACAGGTGGAGAATACCGACAGTGTCCTCTTTTCACAGGCGACACACACCACGTCACTACAAAGGCAGGGAAAGGGCAGGTGTCACAGGCTGAGTGCTGCAGCACAGGCGAAGACTATTTAATATAGAGCCTTTCTTCTGCCTGGGCCTACTCAGGACTTGCCTGAATTTTCTTATGAAAGAGTCTTCTGTCCTCCTCCTGCCCACAGGGCCACTTGTGATTCCCTGAGCTCACACTGATGCTAACTTAATGGTGTGGGGACCCTGGAGAGCCACTGTATCGGACGGTTACTCAGGAAGTAGGCCTCACTCATCAGGTGACATCACAGAGTACCCATGCAGACCTGCTATGACTGGTGAGGGCAGTCCAGACAAGGTCTCCAGTGATGTAGGTGAAGAGAAGTTGGGAGTACGAGTACAAGCCTCACAGGAGACACCAGATGTGCACTCAAGAGAGCCGTTCCAGATGGGATGGGAGAGGCATGTCACCTCCTAAACAAGGAGTGCTTTGTGAGAAATTGTGTCTGGACACTGTCTAGTGTCTTCTCTGAGTGACTACTATGCTCCTCAGGCAGGCATAGAATAAGCAGGCTGCTGCCTTCCCAGGAAAGGCCCACCAAGGCACAATCACAGGTTCAGGGAAAGACTGAAGCACAGGCCCCAGCCAGTAGAAGCACATGTGCAGCCAGAATAACAAAGTTTTGCCCATAGGTGAGTATCCAGAGGGTCTCTTCATGACTTCTGTCCTGGTGAGTCAGGGCCTATGGTCTACATGGATGAATGCAGTAGGGCCACAGCAAGGTCAGTAAGGAGAGAGCTCTGCCAACTCTTTCCTAACATGACATGTTACTGGCCTCTAAAAAAAACAAGGTAAATGAGGTGCTTTTGTTTGCAAACATCTACTTTGAAAGTACGAATCAGAGAAAACTTTAAGCAGGACTTGACAGCAGGGAACTTTCTATGGTGCTGTGGTTGAATTCTGTTTGCTCATCTCTGAGAGGTCCTTTCTTGAACCAGCCCACTGTGAAGGAAGCCATCACATTGGGCTGCAACACCAGGAAGCCAGAGCCTGAGGAGGTGGGATTACATAGACTGAGAGGCCCCGATTGCCTGTCAGGCCCCCTCAATAGCTGCTATATTGCTACAGAGGAAGCTGTGGAATCATCACTGGCACCCAGCTACTACTTACAAGTCCTAGGACCAGGAATGACAGTGGGAGTGTATTGCAGTACCCAGCACATGGGCACCTGGGGCCCTACTAGTCTAACAATACAAAGTCACTTAGGGATTATGGCAGTGATGACAAAACTTTTAGAGCTTTCAATGGTAACAGCCCACTGCAGCATGCACGCCATAGGTTTGCCACCAGGGGACTATGGGATTCCTGGCCTAAGTCTTAATTCCTAAGATCAGTGTTTATAGACGTGTATGAAAACATTTACATATGACCTTATGACAGATGGCTAAGGGTCTAATGAAAAGGACTATAATAATGAGTGATGATCACTGTAAAATCCTGGTAAGACTATCTGCCACATGCTTCTGACTGGGGAACTATGGCTAGCAGGTGCCTGAGGAAAATGTGTCATCTCTTCAGACTGAGCAAAGGAAAGACAGAGCTCTTTTTCAGTACCAGGATGCTCTACTGGTACTGAAGAGATTAACCACTAAATTAAGATCTTTCCCCAAACCACAGAATCTAGAGAGGCCAGGATTGGAAACTTGAGGGAACAATCAGCAATCCATCCTGTCCTGACCACCTTGGATGAAAATCTGGGGCCCAGAGAAAGAACCCATACAGGTTAGGGAGAGTAAGGCAAACTTCAGTTTTCAACTGGAATCTTCAGGACTAAGGGAAGGGAATAAAACCACCAGCCTCATCTGGGTGCCTTGCCAGTGCTCAGATTTCCCACCTGTAACATGGGGATAAATACAATGACTTTACTGGATGTTGCAGGAACTTTAGATGATAAACACATGTGCTTGGCCTTGAGTAAGAACCAGTGTGATCCTCTGTGGGAGCCATCCTCCATTCCAAAAGGCTGCATTTCAGGAAAGTAACAACAGCCAGAACAGCACAAGGACATACCCTCAAGGTACCTACTCACTATGACAAGCCGAGAACCTGGTTGTACTTACCAGCTGCCGGCAGCAGTGAGGATCCGGCTGGTAAGCACCGTCTCCCATTCCTTCCCTTCCCGGTTGCATTTCAGGCGGCTCAGCTTCACACCCCCAACAGCTGTCACTTCATTCTCCACCTCAATGTACATGGAAGGGTCAGAGCTCACCTGGATGAATAAGAATAAACATACTTCTTTTCAGGTGATAGCAAGCCTACTCAGACAGGGGTACTGGGACCAGTGAGATAGTCAGGGAATCTACAGCCCTGGGGTCTGAAGCAAGGAAAAGACAGAGACAGGCTAGCTGGCTGGCCAAAACAGGTTGACAGCTGATAGGGTGGAGGGTCACAGGGTAGGGCAAGAAGGCGACATCACTTTACAGAGGAGAACACACTGTAAGGACTACAGGTAGCCGAGGACAGAGCTTGCAGTGAGACTTTGCTTTGTAGCCTTCTACTTAAAAATCTTCAAAGACTAAGGCACTTGCTAAGAAGACAGCCTGTGGTGGTGCTGGGAGAAAAGCCTAGAAAAATCCTATGGTGTTCTCTGTGAGTTCCTGTGGCTGTGAGCCTCAGTCTGTTCAACTGAGACTATACTGGAGGAACATGCCCAGGACAGTATGTATGAAAACTGTGGAGTTCAGTGTCTGGCACCAGAGAGGCTCAAACTTGTGTGTTTACAGAGCTGATCAACATATAATTCAGTATGGATACCTAGGCTGAATGGCTGAACCATGTGGCTACACAAGAGAGTGAGCTGCAGCCACAAGCCATGTTCCTTTCACAGACACCCAGAAATCAAGTACAGTCCCAAGTCATATCCTGCAGTGAAGATACTGGGAAAAGGCTGGAGTTTGGGAGAGGAGTTACAGCTGCCAACTGCAAGAGGCATTGCCTGTCTCCACTCACATCAGCAATAAGAACAAACTATATGTGTCTCATCCTTTGATTCTGCCTGCTCCACTCCTCTGGACCATAACCCATGGCTGAAAAGGGCTGACGCCTACTCTCCAATTCCCTATGAGGACCAGTGTGGGTCTGGAACAGTGTATGACCAATAGGAACTGACCTGTACACTGGCTCCAAGAAGGCTGTCTGAGGACATACTCCTGGGCTAGGTACAAAGGGTGTATAGAAAGGAGAGAGCAAAGATACCATGGTGGCTGAGGCATGGACATGGTGCTGACCAGAGGGTCTCTGGGTATAAGGGATTATTTGCCCTAGAAATGTGTTTGAAGCTCACAGTTACAAGAGGTTCAACAGATCTAATGATGACTCTGCGAGGCTCTGAGAAGCAGATAGGGCCAGTGGAACCATAGGGAGACAGACCATGACCACATAATCCCTGGGCCCAAAGCCTGAGGCTGCCAGGGCCAAATGTGGAGATGCAGGAGGGTTCTAGAAGAAGGGACACCTGAAACAGGTCTTAAAAGGAGCTGACCATCTAGAAGATGTAATAGTAAAGGCAGCCCTGGCAGCTGGTGGATCAAAGGCAAAGCCACAGAGAGGAAGAGCTATGAGGGTGAGGAATAGAAAGCTAAGACTCTGTTGGGTCTTGCTAAGCAGTTCAGGCTAGCCTTAAACTCACTATGTAGCTCAGGGTGGCCTTGAACTCCCAGTGATCCTCCTGCCTCAGCCTCCTGAGTACAAAGATTACAGGCATGTGTCACCATGCCCAGCCAAGATTAGTACTCTTCTTAAGACTTGGTAGGTACTTTCATCAGCTACGACTTCTTCCAGAAAGGGATGGAGAGGCACTGGATAACTGTCTCCAAAAGCAGTGAAAATACTGGGTTTATAATTGTGTGTGTGAGTGTGTATATGTGTGTGTGTGTTTGTGTGTACACCTGTGAGGGACTTGGTGGAGGGGCCCAACACTTACCTGGAGGGTGAATGCTCTCTGAGGGCCTGGAATCGGCAGCTTCAGTGCAAGTGCTGGTGCAGACAAACACATGGCCTCTTTCTCTGCAGTCAGGGCAGCTGGAGACTAGAAGAGCCAAAAATATCCCTTAATCTCAACCCAGTATTATAGGGTACAATTTGGTACAAGTAAGTCACCCAGAGGTAAAGCTGGCCTGCTACCAGAGCACTTCTACTTACTCTGTGAGGGAAAAAGCATAGGGAATGCTACATGGATTGCCACTTCACAAAAGGGCTGATACCAGAGCTCCAGGCTTTGGGTTGGTGAAGTGCAGGTTTAAGGAACAAAGCTTCCATGTGATATTGCATGATGTTTGCACTTGAGCCAGCTGTCTCTAAGGTGTCCCACACTGATGAGATACACTATAGCACGCAGGGCCTCCCAGCACTGAGCTCAGGGAAGTGGGGCAGAGGTGGGCAGAATGGCCATGGACCTCACCTGGACAGACAGAGACATAGGCAGAAGGCGGGAATCTTTCCGAGGGCGCCCTTTCTTCTTCTTTTCCACTGTTTCTACCTCGAGCTCAAGTTTGCGCTTGGAGAGTGAGGAAGGCTTGGCCAAAGGGACCTTTTCATCACTGTCACTGCTGCTCTCCAAAAGGTCCCGGGGCCTCAGCTCTTTCACAAGGTTCTGGTCTTTCAACCTGCACAGAAAGACACCTGTGACTTCTTTCTAGTATATGTGCTACCAAAGCAAGTACACCTGTCATTTTCTTTATACAACTATTAATTTTATAATTAAAAAAAAAATCCATACTTTTCACAAAATGTTGGTAAGTACAAAAAGTAGAGATGATTTGTTTTCTACTCCAATGTGCAGTGTTTGGAAGCTGACAACCCTGTCCTCAGACCTATTAGAGAACTGAGGTCAGACGACAAACTGCTATCCTGAAAACTGAGAGATGGATCAAGACAGAAAAGACACAGCTGACCTGGACCAGACGCCCCTTGAGTGTTTACTGTGAGTCATATTTCTTAGGGAGTGGTCATGGTGTTAGAGTCTGAATGCAGACAAGCTTGAGAGTTACAATTCCTGGGCGCCAGATGGTAGTAGGGTTTCCACACATTCATCGTTGTCGTTGTCATCATCATCATCACCGTCATCATTTTTTGTTTTTTTGAGACAGGGTCTGATCATCATCATCATCATCATTATTTTTTGTTTTCTTTTTTGAGACAGGGTCTGCTATGTAATTCAGGCCAGCCTTGAACTCACTATGTATACCAGACTGGCCTTGAACTCACAGCAATCCTCCTCCCCTGAGTGCTGGGATTATAGGCTGTGGTTCCAGGCCTGGTTCATTCATTATTTTTACATCAAGGGGTCCCTCCAGGTTCTCAAGGGGAAGATCCTTGATGGGGAGAATATATTATGTTCTCTGGGCTTGGAGAAGGGGAAGTAACCATTCTGAAACATGATCAGATCATTCATTTCTCCGTAACTAAAACCTGCCCTCAAGAAAAACTATTTTACTAGAGCATTATCTTACCTGGGGACAAAGCAGGAAATAGTCAACATCTGCTCTCTGTTGTGCTCCTCCCCTGACCTATTCCCACAGGTTAAGGAATTTTTTTGGAACAAGATAATGAAGCCTAAGTGTTCATACTAAACTCCAGGAATTCTAGACCACTACAACTACCACTGAAAAACAAAGTTAATCATAAGATTATAGAATGTTTCTCCTCCCCCATACTTCATCATTACATCAATACAGCCCCAGTATAATGACAGTATATTATAACCATGAGAGCTGCAAGTCATAGGCTCTACTTAAGTAATTTCTAGGAACTCTTTGCTAGATAAATACAGCTTCATACTATAAATCTATGTACTTAATTTCCAATACTCAATACAATAGCCCAGCTTTCAACAAAAAATCATGAGGTGCCGGGCCTGGTTGCACATGCCTGCAATCCCAGCACTCAGGAGGCTGAGGCAGGAGGATCATTGCTTGAGTTCGAGGCCAGCCTGAGCTACAAAGCGAGTTCAAGGCCATCCTGAACCACATAGTGAAACCCTGTTTCAAAAAGACCAAAAAAACTCAAAAAACAAAACAAAACCAAAAACACAAGGCACAGTAAGAGGTAAAATAAAACCAAAGGAAAAACCAAAAAGCACAAACCAATAACAACAAGAAACAAAAACACAGTTTCAAAAGACAAAACAGACAACAGAACCAGACTCAGAGATAGCAGAAATTTTGAAATTATCAGAGTAAGATTTTAAATAACCCTGATCAGAGTTCCTAATCATAGGGGTTCCAATGGAAAAAGTTAAAAGAGAGCAGTAGTAGGAGAGAATTTAACAACAAAATTAATGAAACATACCAAAGTAGAAGAGGAAGAACAAAGAAGGAAAAAGAATGAGGAAGAGGAGGAAGAGGAAGAAGAGGATGAGGAAGAAAGAATTTTCTAAAGTTTAAGATACCAAATCACAGATCCAGGAAGGTTAGGGAACACTAAACAAGACAAACACCAAATACCTACAGTTAAGATAACATATTCAGACTGTAGAAAACCAAGGACAGAAAATCTTGAAGATAGGGAGAAACCCCTATATTACATTATGGTTTATATCTAAATGTCCCCCAAAGCTCCATGCACTCATAGGTGGGGTTTTTAGGAGATGATTAGATGATGGGTACATGACAGTTCATCATAGGTGTGTGATACTGGATTAGTCCACTGATGGGCTTATAGCTGGTTGTAATGTTGGGAGGTGAACCCTAGTGGGAAGAGGTGAATCCCTGTGGGCGTGGCCTGGAAACATATCCTTCCTACTCCCTTGATCTCTCCCTGCTTCCTAACTGACTTGCCTTGAATTATTTGTTTTCTGCTGCCAGGCCCCTTGCCACGCCACCAGCCGACTATAGCCTGAAACCTCTTTACTGTGAACCAAAATAAGCCTCTCCTTTAACTTGTGAGTATTGGGTATTTTGTTCCAGCAATGAGAAAGTAATTAGAACATCTTATAAGGAAAAAAACATAAGAATTTAGGTTTCTATAATTCAAATTTCTTGGATAAAGGGTAATATTTAAAGTGTTTGAAAAAGAAAACCCCACTAAGTTGGATGGTATGACACACATCTATAGTCCCAGCTACTTGGGAAGCAAAGGCAGGAGGATTCCTTGATGCCATGAGTTTGGAACTAGCCTGAGAAACAAAGTGAGACCCCATCCAAAACGAACAACAAACAAAACTCCTTTCAAAACTCCTAGAAATTTATATCCAGGGAAATCATGCCTTAAAAGCAAAGGTGAAATAAAGACTTGCTAAGATAAAAACCAACCAACAAACACCTGAGGGAATTTGTTACCAGCAGACTTGCCTTGCAAAAAGCAGTAAAAGTTTTTCAAGGAGAAGGAAAATGATGCAGCTCAGAAAATCAAATCTACATGAAGAAAAAAAAGGTCAGAGAAGGAACAAATAAACAAAATCTTCTCTTTTTCCTTTTTGAATTGACCTGAGATAACTTTTTCCTTAAATAAAAAACAATAACAATGTATTAATGATTATAGTTTTAAACAAATGAACTAAGTGGTAATAATGTTATGAGGTATGGAAGAGCGGAACTGGGAGTACTCTGTAGTAAGTTACCTGAACTGTGTTAATGCAATCCCAACCAAAACACCATCACAGAACTAGAGAAAACATTCCTAAAATTCATTTGGAACCAGAAGAGACCTAGAATAGCAAAAACAAGTCTGGGCAACAAAGGCAAAGCACAGGACATCACAATCCCTGACTTGAAATTATACTACAGAGCTACTGTGATAAAAACAGTGTGGTACTGGCAAAAGCAAAACAAAAAAATAAAACCAAACTCAAAAAACAGACTAGAGGATCACTGGAACAGATTAGATGAAGCAGAAACAACTTCAAACATACTCAGTCATCTTATCTTTGACAAAGGGGTCAAACATGTTTACTGGAAGAAAGAAAGCCTCCTTAATAAATGGTTCTGCAAAAACTGGTTTTCCTCATACTGAAGACTAAAATTAGACCCATGTCTAGCACCTTACACTAAACTAAAATAAAAATGGATCAAAGATCTAAATATTAAAACAGAAATGCTAAATCTGCTGGAAGAGAGAATAGGTAGAACTCTTGAAGACATAGGTGTAGGCAAAGACTTCATGAACAAAACCCTGACTGCATGGCAAATACTACAAAGAATCAACAACTAGGATCCATCTTATTAAAAAGCTACTGCACAGCAAAAGAAATCATCAACAGAGTAGAAAGACAATCCACAAAGACAGAAAAAATCTTAGGCTGTTGTTCTTCAGACAAAGGACTACTATCTAGAACACATAAGGCACTGAAAAAACTCAGACCCCCCCAAATTTAAAGATCCATTCCAAAAATGGACATCTGAAATGAAGACACTTTTCAGAAGTACAAATGGCAAATAAATACATGAAAAAAATGTTCAGCATCACTGATCATTTGAGAGGTGCAAATTAAAACAATGCTGAGATTCTATCTCACTCTAGAAAAAATGGCTCCTATTATCAAATCAACCAGTAACAAATACTCATGGGACTGTGGGGAAAAAGAAACCCTTCTCCACTGTTGGTGGGAGAAGACTGTGCAACCATGTAAGATCAGCGTGGAAATTCCTCAAAAAACTAAGACTAGAGGTTCCATTCGACCCAGCTATTCCCCTTCTTGGTATCTTCTCAAAAGAATTAAAAGCATCATACCACAGTGACATATGTGCATCTATCTTTATATGCTACAAGCTGTGCACAGTTTGTACTAGCTAAATCTTGGACACAACCTAAATGCCCATCAAGTAACAGATGGATAAAAAAAGATGTGGTTTCTTTTATACAATGGAATACTACTCAGCCATAAAGAAAGATAGACTTGACACATTTATAGCTAAATGGATGGACCTTGAGACCATACTCTTAATGAAATAAACTGGACACATACATGTAAATATTGCACTGTCTGGTATGAGAAACTGAAAGTGTAAATAAGAACCAAAATATATAACAGATATTGTGAAATAGGCAGTAACTGTTCAAAGGGAATGGGGAAGGGGAAGGGGGTAGAAAGGAAAAGAAAAAAATGAGAAAAAATAAGGATATAATGGAAACAAAGCTTTGTAAATAAGGAGGGAAAGAGGGGTTGAAGGGAGGAGGAGAATAGGACATAAAAGAGGAACTAAGATATATCATGTACAGGTACAAATTCCCTATGATGAATGTGATCATTATGCATATCTAAATTATTCAAAATATAATTTTAAAAAAGGAATTTAATTTTGTTACCTGTACTACCCATGAAGCAGTATATTACTTAAAATGGACCTAGACTGGTTGTAAATGTTCAGTGAAAACTCTAGGGCAACCATCTGAAAATATTTTTTTTAAAAAGAAGTACAATTGATAATGCTAAAAATAGAATCATACAAAATGCTCAATTAGAACTAGAGGAGCCAGAAAAAGAAGGAAATATAAAAAAAGTGCAACAAACACAAAAAAGTTAAAAACATTAATCCAACTTTATCAATAATCACTTTAAATGTGTTAAAAATAAACCAATGAATGACAGAATGGAAAAAAGGGTCATAAAAATAGGCTAACATTTTATATTATGTTTATTTGTACATGTTCACTGAACACACTCATTGTGGGGAGTTGGTACATGTACAGAACATACCTTAATTCCTTTCACTCCCCTTACTTCCTCTTCTTTTCCTCTTCCTTTTATCTCTAGATCCCCTTCCCACTTGCAATGAGGTTTATATATTTTAAAATATTTTCTAAAACACACATACACATATATATATTTTTGAGACAGGGTTTTGCTATGTTGTTTAGGTTGGCCTCAAACTTGGGACTCTAGATAAGCGTTCTTACCTAGAGGATAATAAGAGTTCTTATTTGTCTCGATGTCTCCCAAAAGCATCATGTGGCCATAGGAGGAAACCTTGGGAAGGTGATCAGATTATAGGGCATTATAGTTAACGTGCTGTTAGGAGTTGGGTCCTGGTAGGTCACGTTAAGTGTGACGTGAAAGGGAATATCTTCCCTCCCAGATCCTCTCTTGACTTACTCTGATTCCTGAATGCTATGAAGTAAGCAGCTTTCCTCAGTCCAGGGCCTTCTACTGTGCTGCTTCTGCCCTTGAGCCAGCTGACAATGGACTAAAACCTCCAAAAATGTGAATCAAACTAAATCTCTCCTCCTTTAAGTTGGCAGTGGGTATGGTGTCCCAGCAATGAGGAAAGTGACTGAGCGGTCCATGTCGTCTGTCTCAGCCTCCTAAGTAGCAGGGCTCATAGGTATACGTTACCATACCCAGCTTTCAAAAATGTAATTTTAACCATATAGATTAAAAGTAAAGCAGGGGTAGTGGAGGGGAGACATTGTAGGGGGTGTTCCAGCTACATGACATTCTGGAAAAGGCGAAACTATGGAGACAATAAAAATATCAGTGGTTGCCATGGGGTTGGGAAGGGCTGTTGAATCGGGACCGCATAGAGGATTATTAGGGCAGTAATGGTAGATGTGTCTTTATACCTTTGTCAAAACCCACAGAATGCACAACATGAAAAGAGCCCCTTAATGTGAACTGTGGACACTGGGTGATAATAATATGTTCCGCCTCAGACATTGATAATGGAAGAAGGGTGTGCACTTGTGGGAGCAGAGGACACATGCAAATTCTCTGTACTTTCTGCTCAGTTTTGCTCTGAACCTCACACTGTCCCTAAAAAGAAAACCCAGTCTATTTAAAGAGTAAAGCTGCATGCCTATAATCCCAGTACTCGGGAGGTTGAGGCAAGAGGATCACTATCAATTTGAGGTCATCCTTGGCTACATAGCAAGACGCTGTTTCAAAAAACCTTAAAAAAAAAAAGAAAAAAAGAAAAAGGCAAAGAGAGAAAGGCATGCTATTATAAGACTAATAAAAAAACCTGCAGTAGCTATATTAATTTCAGATCAAGTAGGCTTCAGAGCAAGAGGGTTAGCAAGGATTAAGAGGAACATTACACAGTGATACAAGGGTTGATTCTCCAAAAAGATATACTAATCCTTAATAAGTATATGCCTAACAACAAAATGTCAAAATGTATGCAGCAAAACACAGAATACAAGAACCAGATAAATACACTATTATAGTCGGAGACTTTAATACTTCTCTAATAGAAACCAACAAATTAAGAAGACAAAAAATCAATATGGATATCAATCAATGTCATCCATCACTTGGATTTAATTCACATTTTGTTTATTTATTTTTTTGTTTGTTTGTTTTTTCCGGTACGGGGAATAGAACTCACGACCTTGTGCTTGCCAGGCAGGCGCTGTGCCACTGAGCTAAATCCCCAGCCCCTTAATTCACATTTTTAAAAAATACTTTATTCAACAACAGTAGAATACACATTCTTCTTAAGCTTATATGGAACAGCCATCAATAGTACAACTGAAAAATCATCAAATATTCATACACTGAAAAACATATCTCCCCCAAAAAACCCATAGGGCTAAGACAAAAACTCTCCAGATAAATTAAAAAATATTTTGAATTAGATGAAAATGAAAACACAACTTATCAAAATGGCAAGTACTGAACATGACACTGAATGTACATATTAGAAAGGAAGATCTGAACTCAATAATCTAAACATCATTATTGGTAACAAAAAAATCCCCAATGTGAGCATACTTTAAGTAGTAATAAGTATAAAATTTAGACAAGTAATCAAGTGAAATTGGAAAGTAGGATAGCAACAAAGAAAAAAAAAATCAATGAAATTAAAAGCTGATTCTTGGAAAAGATCAATAAAATTGATAAACACGTGGCCAGGGAAATCAAGAAAAAAGGGGAAGGCATAAATTACTAGTATCAGAAATGAAGAAGCACTCACTGCTGATCCAATGGACACTCAAAGGATGATACAGAAGATAATGAACACCTCTGACCCCACACATTTGATAACTTATATGTAATGAACCAAATCCTTGAAAGAAATAACCTACCAAAATTCACAGATGGAAAAAAGAGGTCATGTAAATAGGCCTATATCTATTAATAAAACTGAATCAACAATTAATAACTTTCCCAAAAAAAGAAAGCACCTGGCATAGATAGTTTTACTGGTGAATTCTACCAACCATCTAAAGAACAAATTATATTAATTCTCTATAACCTGTTACAGAAAACAGAAGCAGACAGAATAATTTTTAACTCCTATGAAGCCAGCATTATTTTACTACCAAAACCAGATAAAGAAATTACAAGAAAGAAAAACTACAAATCCATATTTTCATGAATATACATGCAGAAATCCTTAAGCAAAATATTAGCAACTTGAATTCAACATATATAATTATATTCCATTCAAATGAATTTATTCCAGGTATACATGACAGTCCAACATCCAAAAATCAATTAATTGATCAACAAGATTAAAGAAAAGTCTATGTACTACAAACATTTAC